GTGCAATGATCATAATGGTGAAGAACCATTATGAATTTAATGGAAAAGTTCATGTGAATTCTAGAAAGAATTCACAATTAGTGGTTTGATTGTGTAATTGGCAAAGGTTGAAGGGTTGATAGTGGAAATAAATATTTATGAAATTTAAGGAATACTTTGAGAAGTTTGAAATATCGATGGAAGTACAATTTAGTTTTATATTGATTTAAGTATCGATTTTATTTTTATCAAATTTTATATTTAAGTTTAAATTATGTTAGTTCGATACTAACATATATCTTGAATATTTTATGATGTTATATGACGTTGTCAGACTATGGTAAATTTAGTAATCCAAGTAACTCTAAAGAGAAGGAAAAGATGCGAAATTTAGAAGATTATCATGAAGAATGTTCGATAATGAGGCAAAAATGAGTGCATTTAATTTGTATCTATCTTATCGAAAAAAATATTGATGTCAAATTACATTAAGGAGTGACTCTTAGTGTAATAGGAAGTGATTTTGAGCCTACATGTTCATTTAGTAAACTAATAAATTAGTGAATAATTTAAGGATGCAAGTTGGTAAAATTTGTCTAGAATTATGTATTGAACATTAAGTTTAGAAAATCATCAAAAATTCTATAAAAATTATTGAAGGATGAATATTATATCATTGGATTCATATATCAGTCTAGTTTGGTTTATAACAAACAACAATTGATTCCGAGGAATATACAAAAAGATATGAATTTTTAATCAGTGATAGGTCAGAAAACAGGGCAACATATTCTGCCCATAACAACTTATGTTATTCAACTTTGAAAATTTGTTATAAATTGTACCAGTGAAACAAGACTGGGTGCCTAATATGGTTAGATTTTTATTCGAGCCTATTTTTCATTAGTGCAAACAAAATAATTTTTCAGTATTTATATTAATACAGAATAATATTTCTTTGAAGGTAGTGCAAACTGTTAGAATATGAAATTTTGATAAATTGTGTAGTGGAAGCAATTTAAAGTAAAGGATTAAACCTAAGTTTAGCGAGGTTTACATTTTGATTTATTAGTAAAGTGTTGAAGTGAGTGCAAATTATTTTTTTCTTTGATTATTATGATCAAGGACGACTTGCGATAAATCAATCTCATTTTATTTTTCCAATACGATTTATAAGTTCTTATGATGAAATATTTTCATAATATTTTTCATCAAGTTTTATGAATGATTTTGGGTATGAACTGCCTAAGTACAATATTTATGATGATGATCTAAATATTTACAATTATCAGACATTTTACAGTTATTTATGATATTTGATGATTACTTGATTTTTTGCAAAATCATGAGATGAAGACTCTACGTTGCGGTATGAACCCGTAATATTGAACAGTGTCAACCTAAAGACACTAGGTGCTCCACACGTCTTCAAGCTAAATATGAAGACGCCGTGTACTCCTAGGGTCTTCTCAATTTGCTTGAAGACTAATAAAAAACTCTAATTTAAAAAATAATATGATAAATATTTTATATGAAAAAATAATTTTTTTCACAATCTTATATGGACGAGAAGGCTACCAAAAGACTCCAAAAGCCAACAGACTCGCTTGAAATAGCACTTTTCCTCCACTGGCACAAATAATGATGGCAAAACTTTCGAGATAATGTTCTGAAAGAAATTAATTCACGAGCTAATGCACTCCCAAGATTAATTGCTCAAATAGGGTGAAATCCATAGTGTTGGCCGTAGGTCGCCATGCACTCCGGGCGACCTTGTAGGTCGCCATGCACTCCGGGCGACCTTGTAGGTCGCCATGCACTCCGGGCGACCTACCCTTGCTCAAACAGAGAGAATGAACGTGTTGCATGGCACATGCACGTCCCAACACATAGGTCGCCATGCCCTCCGGGCGACCTTGTAGGTCGCCATGCACTCCGAGCGACCTACCCTCGCTCGGCTTCCCTCGGATTCCCTCGCATAGCTTGCTCGATTGCCCTCGGATGCCCTCGCATAGCTCGTTCGGATGGCCTCGGTCGGATGGCCTCGGTTGGATGGCCAGCGTGTTGGGACGTGCATGGCACATGCAATCTCTTGTAGCTCGCTGGGAAGACATGGCGACCTAGTAGGTCGCCCGGAAGGCATGGCGACCTACGGCCAACACTGTGGATTTCACCTTATTTGAGCAATTAATCTTAGGAGTGCTTTATCTCGTGAATTAATTTTTTCCATAACATTATTTCGAAAGTTTTACCAAATAATGATATATCTCATCCTAACAGAGATAAATCCTTGAAATGTGCCAACGGGGTAGTTTTGTTATACGGTTAAAGAAATATCTTATTAAAAATATTAAAAATTTTAATATTTTTAGTTTTTTAATATTTTTAGCAAAGGTTACCTAAACCATTATTTTTTATTAAAAATGTTAATATTAGACGCTACCTAAAATGTTTAACATTTCTGGTAAAACGTTATCTAAAACATTATTTTTCTACCGGAAATATTAATATTAAATTATTAGTTAGCGAAATTAACATTTTCGATAAAAGAATAATGTTTTAAGTATCACTTTACCGGAAATGTTAAAAAAATATTAATATTTTTTATAACGACTTTTCTTAATAGTATATTAAGGTTGCCGTAGCTAAGACATCCCGTGCATTGATGGAGCTGAATCATCTTAGAGAAGCAGCTTGCTGGTTCCATGGCCGTGGTTGATGAAAATATCGGCTCGAGAAACTCAATTTGCAGCGCGCCCGAGGAGTGTTTGCTGGGAAACTTGCGTATAAGTGAAACGGATGCAGATTGCATTGACTCTGTTATGAGTGCACATGATTTTGTTGGTTTTAGTTGTATGGGTGAAAAGGCTAAAGTATGTCGGGCCCCTATTGTAGATGCTATTAGGTGCAACAATTATGGGGGTGAGGGCGTAGAAGCTGTAGAATTTGTCGAGGCAGAATTTGTCGATCATGGATGGCTCAGAGGAGGCTAATAATCAATTTATTTTGATTGGGTTTGTTGCTGATCAAGTGGAAGGTGAGTTGGTAGCAAGTCCTTGCAACAGTGAAGCTTTAGAGGATGTTAGTAATATGGGTTTACTAAGCTAGATGGATATTAGTTTTTTTTTTCAGTTGAGAGATGATCAATTGTGTATGAAGATGTTTGGTTTGAAAACTCTAAGAAAGTTCGACTTCAAATTTCGTGTTATATCTTGGATTGATGGAGTGTGACAAACTCGCTCTCCACTTGGGAGTGTTACTTTTTGTGAGATGTGGGGAGTTTTGGTGGTATGACTAAGAAATCGAATTAAAGTATGATGGTAAATTGTGTTACGTCGAAGTTGTATGCTTTGCTTTGGCAGTTTAGTGTCTTCTATAGTTTTGGATATGTGTTTGCTGTTTGTTGTGTGACTTCACTGGTGTTCTAAGTGTTTTTTTTGTGTTATATCATCTACCTAATTGTGTGTATTCTTTTCTCTAGAGATATTTTTAACGAGGCATGTAACTTGGGTCTAAATTTTTTAATAAATTTACTTGCTGAGAAAAAAAAGATCACGATACCTAATGTACAACTGCGTATGTCTGGTAGGCTTCTAAATTTGTCTGTATAGAATAAATTTTGCACATAGAAATAGGGTTTTACTTAGGATTGATCCCCAAATATCAAACAACCCTGGAACTTGTTTCAACTTTTAAAAACTCATTGCATCACGCGAATCGTAAAGACTGAAAACTCTGACTGCCCCCAAGAAGGTTGGCCGGTCTAAACATTTAGCTGTTGTGTTTTCCTGTTGCGACAAATGAGCTAAGCGAGGAGTGGGTTAAAGAAGGAGAGAGTGAGTGGATTTGAGTGGTACAGATATTTGACGTGCACTTTGATGAGAACGGTTTGGATTTGACGAAGCAAGTGTTGGGGTGTTTCAGAAAAAGAAAAAGAATCATATCCCTAGCTTGCGTCACAGTATGCAAAAGTGACTGGTTTTTGCATGAACCATCAGCGTTGATAATCATGAGTGAGGGTGATGACAACTCCTTCAAACCCCAAAATTCAAACTTGGAACACTTCCAAAGTAGATGGAGAAAGAAACCAGCAATGGCGGTTGCAGGGTCATCAACTTTTGAACCTCTCCCACATGTGTGAGGTTTTGGAGGCTAAGAAATGGGAGAACAGTTCATGAATAGGACACGTGGCGTAACAAGAGTGAGAGGATTAATCAATAAGTGGGGGATGAGGTGGGTCAACAGTAGGTTTGATTGGATTGTTGTGGTGTCGTAGGCAGAGGTCTTTTTTTCCTTCCTAATTGTACTGCAAAGTTCAAACAAAACATAGATTGGTAGCCTGCTGCTGCTGCTGCTAAGTTAGGCAGGCAGGCTCTCACAATCCGCCATGAAAAGCACGTAATAATGGGAAACAATACATATATGAGAAAATAACTTCAGTGACAAAAAATGTCTTATATTATATGATTTTAATTAACTTTTTTTTAGATATGTCAAAATGATCAACTAAATCGCAATGCGATCGATAATTCGCAACATGATCTCCGGTATCGCAAATCAATTTCCAGATTCACAACGCGAACTTCGACTATCGCAATACTATGTTTTTGTGAATGCTAAACGAACTAGAACAGATTTTGATAGAAAACACCAAACGTTTACATCTTTTATGAGTAGTTATGTATGAAACTATTTGATGTGTTGAAAGAAGAATGATGAATTAGGGGTGTCGAAGTCTATACTCCAGTGCTCAAGTCAATAAGACACATTTAGTGATGGTGGTATTAAGAAACAGAGATGGATTGAGAGAGACGATTGGAGCATAGGCCAAGTTATAAAGATGTATTCCATTCATATATACTCAGTGATAGATTGAGATAGCTTTCATGAGCAGTTGAAAGACTTGACATACAAGGAATACAACCCTATAAATATAATTTGCTTAAAGGTTTTCATGGTCTGAAGATAAACAGCCATTGCTCTTGCTTTTCACCATCCTCTAGAAGTTAGATCGAGGCATCAACCCCAAAAATACGAGCACTTCTGTGAGAAAATGTATTGTACAAATTTATAGCCACCAAAAATAAGATCTTGACCTGGTTTTCTAGTAATCAACAACTTCAGAATGGACTAGAGAAAATGCAGAATCCCCCACCAATTCTTCGAGTTAAAAGCTTTAGCAGATATATATGATAAAACCAGATGAATGGGTGTAGTTATTTCAGCTTTTTCATCCATTTTCTTTTACTATGTTAGATAATAACCACTTAAATCGTCAACCAGATAGTCGTACTGCAATCCATGCCCGCAATCGAACTTCTCGCTTGATGGTGCCACCGTATTTTGAGTAGAATAAGGATTTACAACACTGACCTTAGCATTAATTTTAGCCCTTCCTTTGACATTGCGTTTGTTGTCAGTTGGGAACTCTGCAGTGAGCCTTCCCATCTGCTTCTGCAGATCAGCAACTGTATCGTTTGCTGATTTCCCCTTTGCATTTTTCTTACCATCAACAAGCTTCAATTCCAACCTGTACAAGGCACAGGCATCACATTTGTTGATTTCATATTCATAAAGGTGCCACTCAAAATGTTGTAGTGGCTGTGGATCCATGTAGTACGATCTCTTCAGTCCTCCAAATTCATTCATAACTTGCTTCCTTGACTCATGCCAGCCACGCCCACTGTAATCCGGTAAAGACCTCTGCTTTCTGTTCCCACTTTCAAATGCTCTTCGAGGTTTATCAAAAAAGAGCCACTCCCTCATTGATTCACCCTCAAGAACTGAAAGATCAAAGAGCTCTGCAATCACAGGAGAAAAATAGTTAATTTCAAAAGTCAAAAAGAATATCAGATCTTCTGTTGCTGCTCATAAAAGTTGCCACCAAAACCATGTAAAGCAATATTAATAAAACATACCAGGAGCATTCCATGGAGACTTTGCAGTTGCAGCTCCCTCACATTCTGGTATACCCACATCTCTTCCTTGTGCCTTAGCACTGAGAGCAGCAAAGAGCAGTCCATCCTTGAGGCCTATGCCACCAGGTCGCAGAATCGGTCCCATTCCAGGTGGCCCTTCATTCATTGCTAAACTAGCATGAAAGCTACTACAGTAGTCTTGACACCAGTCCAACCCTTGAGCAGGCCTTGGACAATCCCAAAGTGCACACTTTGGACCTAAGAATGCAGATGGTGGCACTGGCAGACATACACTTGGCAGATAACTAGGAGTAGTATGAAGCATGGCATCCTCCCCAGCGAAACCTGTACCATTGTAACCTGTGTAGAAGTGTTCAAAATCCTGATGAAAATCCATCTGATGGTATTCCAATTGAGTAGTCCCTTCCAAGCAGTTCATTGGCATGACACGGATTCCTGAAGGTGAATCTTTGCAATGATCAACTAATGGAAAGCCACGTTGATGTTGCCCCTGATTAACTCCATAACCCTGTAAGAACATGTTGATTATAAAACTTGCCAGTGAATGCCTTTTCAACATTATAGCATGCCAAAGAAAAATGGAAACAGTTAACTAGAAAACATTCATGAAATATAACCAGAGAATAGCCAAAGGATTCTTTAGTGAAATATAGCTTTAATGCAAAAGTGCCAAAAATATGGTAAATCAAAGCCCTATATAAGCTCAAATAAAGATCTAGCTACAAAAGCCTGCATGATGTTCAAGACAAGGAAGATAAGTAATTATTGGTGCTGAGAAGGGATATCTTTGAAGTTCACTAGCAGCGCCAGTCCTATTCATCGAGTGTGCAACGGAATTAGTTATTAAAGAAACCAATAACATTATTGATGCTCTGCCACTTCCAAGAATATCATAAATCCTCCCGTATTTATCACAGAAAAAAACCCAATTAGTTATTAGGGAAACCAATAACATTATACTCAAGTTTAAGGTAACGAAATCCTGTTTAACACAACTAGGAGAGAATTGCAAGCATATTGTAGTAGCCTTATCTACTCTATAACACCATTCCAGGAAAGAGACAAATTAGAAACAGTCATCAAGCAGCATAATTTTTCATTGTTTCAGTACTTCACTACACTCTAGAAACTATAACAATCATGTTTATACTATATAAACATATATAGCTCCCAATCCCAAACGTACATAAGAATGAAACCAAATGCTTAAAACATAAGAAATCTCATCCCTTCGAATGGACAAATTAAGCTGATGCTCATGTTGACCTGATCTTGCTGAATGTTCTTATCAGCCCAATCATCATGAAAATTCCAAACAAAATAAAAAGCAAAGAATCCACGTATAAAGTGAAACTACCTCTTGGAAAGCAGCAGTATCTCCTACTTGAAGGTTTTGATCATTAGGCTCAGGCTTTGGAGCAGCTAGAACACTGGTTGCATCATCTTCCTCCTCACAAAGCTGCAGCAGCCGACAAATGTCCGATGAAAATGAACCAGGACTCCCTCCCTGTATGTCACATGAAGATCGCAATTCTCAATCACAACATCATAAATAGTATTTTCAACCTCTTAAGATCAAAACTCATAAGGATCTATCATGGTACAATTTGTAAGAGGTGGATTACTTCAAACAACATACCGAAACAATTGCCACAAATTCACACTGATTTTTTAAAAAAAAATATACGTGATTCAAATGAAAAGTATATATGCAGTGCTAACTTGTTGCAATGAAGATGCCGGAGAAGGTTCATTGAGCTCAGCTTTCCATTCACGGAGCATCTGATGGACTTGCTCCTCAAGGACTGCGACATCGATGCTCCGGCTGTCTTTCCTGGCAAATTGCAGATCCAAGAATATCCCCTGCAGGTCATCCACCCGGTTTTTTGCCCTGTCCTTGAAGAGTTTGTGGGATGCAGACTTGCAGTTGATTTTTGAACCTTTCCCCATTAGATGAAAGACCCTCAACAACTCACACCAAGACCCCTGCAATCCAAAACGCAATAAATCACAAAACTTAAGATCAACCCGATTAAAGTTTACTCCAATCATCACTACTATTGTTCCTTAAATTTATAAGTAAATTTCGGTTTAAAACTAACAATAGTGGGAAAAAGAAACTACCCATTTGCGATCAAAGCAACTGAGATTCCCACGGTTGTCTAAATTTTATTAAAAAAGAAAAAGGAGCCAAGCTAGAAAAGAATACTAAAATCATTATAGATAAATTTACACCATATTCAGATTAAATGAAGTCCTATGAACACAGAAATATTATAGAACGCTTAAAAAACTCTGAATTAAATCTAAAAAGAAAGGCAACCCAGTTTTTGCAAGTACCTTAAAGCTGAGATTACTTAGGCAGCATCAGGTGAAAGGTAAATTGTAGAATCGAAAGAGATGTAAATAGTTTATCTTTTTTTTTTTTTGAAGGAATAAATAGTTTATTATAGAAAGCTAACCAGGGAGTGATCAAAGACACCGAAGTTCCTCACTTTGAATGGAGCAAGCGCTGAAGCAATAGCAGATTAAGAGAAATAAGCAATGTAAGCGGTGGGAAATGGCCAAAAAAATATAGAAAAGTAATTTATTCGATGAAACAAAAAAGGTAGAAGAACAGATGCTACCCTAGTCATTTGTGGGGTTTTTTTTTCCTTCTTTGGGTGGAATTTTACTTTTTGAGTTTTCTTTTTTGTTTAATTTTATTCCAAAATCTCATAGGAAAATATCGAAAAAATTTCAATCTTCCAATTTATGAGAATTTCTTCGAGCATGATAATATAAAATTATCCTCTTATTATGAATATTTTATTATTTAAAATTTTTTATTTTTTATTATGAAAATTTCATTTTATATTTTTTATCTTTATTTAAAAAAATCATTTAACTTATTATTATAATTAATATATCAACATATTCATCAATCAATAGGAATTAATATTACAAAAGTTTATATAAAGATAAATGTACAATCTTCTAAATTTAATATTGTAGTGATCCATATAAGGAAGGTACGAATTTAATTTAAGGTTAATTACACGGATCATCATTTATGTTTATGTTTTATCTAGTTTTAGTCATTGATTTTTTAAAAAATATAATATATGATTATTGATTTTTTATTTAATTAAGACGTGATCACCCCGAGTTAACTGTCGTTAACGGTATTTAAACATTTTAATATAATCACACATTTGATCTATGTTATTTACATATTCTCTCAATTTAGGCATACTTTTAATAAATTAAAATAAATTTAACTCTCTAATCGAATGATATCACATGTCATGCCACGTGTTACCATTCGATTGGAGGACTAACTTTATTTTAATTTAATATATTTATTTTCACCAATCAAAGAGTGACATGAGTCACCCTCTTGTTGAAAGAAAACAAAAGAAATCAAATTAGGGCAAAAAAGATTCAAACCTTGGTCACTTAGGAAACTAAACACGATCCCAAACCATTAAGCCAAAACTATTGATTGGTTTAAAATAGACAACATGTTGTATATATTTTGTATCTTAGTGTATAAAGATTTTAATTCATAATATTTATATATATTAACTTAAAAAAATATGTTTATATTAAGTTATTAAATATAATTTATTATCAACTTAATTTAAAAATATTATATTTTTTATTTTCATTTAAAAAATATTTATATTATGTTAAAATTTATTTAAAATATGATTAAATTGAGAGAATATATAAATAACAATGATCAAATATGTAATTATACCAACTATCACGTTACATATTCTATTAATTGTTAACAACAGTCAACCTGTGATGACCACATCTTAATTAATAAAAATGGAAGTGGCCATATTTTAATTAATTAAAAACGAAAGTGATCACATCTTATGTTTTTTTAAATCGGTGACCAAAATTGTACAAAACATAAACATAAGTGATCACCCATGTAGTTAACCCTTTAATTTATTTCATTCATATTATCAAGATTTAAATAAAAAGTAATTTGATCTAAATATATTAATTTTCTATTAGTAACTTTTAATTTAATTTAAAATAAAATAAAATATTTTAAAGATTATATAATATTAAAAATAAATAAAATGTAATTAATCAAACATATTTAATGACAACTAATTTTTTCATTGACTCTTATTATCAAATTTTCATCTTCAATTATTTATAGAGTTTTTTCAGTTAAATTCTCATTTTGAGTTTTTTTTTTTAAATCACCAACAAGAAACATTGTTGAAGCGTGGCCTAAAGTCAATGAAATTAGCTTCATAGACATTTTTTTTGTATATTTTGGATATAGATTATTGTTTTCTTAACAAGGATATTGAATAATATTTGCTTTAAAGCATTCATTAGTGATTTAGATTCTATAAGAAAAAAATTAGCATTCTAATAATATTATATTCTATTTAAAATTTAAAATTTAAGATTTATAATATATTATTTTATATATATAACTATCGGTATCCGATCTATTAATCGACTAATCCAGATTGGGTATTGTAGATAGGCAAGGGTGACCCACCCAACCCAACTCAGTTTTCTTCATTTACAATCATCAAGATTCAAAACTCTGACCGTTAAATATATTAAATAATATTTATTCATGTTTGTAGAATATTTGTTTTAGGAAAATTATTTTATATGAAATGGATGAGATGTGTAACAGAGAGTGTAGTAAAAAAATAAAAAATTATCATATTATTTAAAGATTACTAATAGAATTACTTATATTACATTGATAATGTATTAAATATTAAACCTTATAATTATATAGTAAAAATTTTGTAGTTATTGATACAATAATAATATTAAAATGAAAGATTTAAAATTTTTGATATTCAAATCTCATCTTAAATATTAACATTGAAAGTTTATGGGTAAATTACACTTTTCTCATTGAACTATATTCTCTCTCTTATCTTACTCACTGTATTTTTAGTTTTTCTAATTTACTCACTGAACTTTCGAATTACTCTTGTTTTGATCACTCTGAATTATTTTATTATTATTTTTGTATGACATGATATTTTTATTACTATTTAATATAAAATAATTGAAAATATAAAATAAAAATAGAAGGTGGTCAGATGTCACCGTCGGCCACGCGACGACCGTCGTAGATGGTGGTCGTTTAGTCCCAAATTTTATGGGGCGCTTCGCCTCTACACCTTAAGCCCAAATCCGACCTCAATTTCATCAGGATTTGCTCCGAAGTCCATGAATTAGAGATTGAAATTGAGGAAGCTAAAATGTTTCAGTCGAGATTCATGGGTTTTGGGATATTTTCCAGTGAAACAATCACCATATTCAGACTCAGGGGTCGATATAAACCAACCAATGCAATTTGGGACCGGATGACCAACATCTACAGCGGCCGACGGTGGCGTCCTACCACCTTATGTTTTTATTTTATATTAAATAATAAAAAATGCCATGTCATACATAAATAATAATAAAACAATTCAGAGTGATCAAAACAAATGCAATTCGAAAGTTCTGTGAGTAAACTATAAATACTAAAAGTATGATGAGTAAAATAGGATAGACAATATAATGCAGTGAGAAATGGTGTAGTTTACCCAAAGTTTAAATAAAGCTCGAGAAAGACCCAGAATTGTGTGGTTTCACACATTTATCAGAGTTAATTTAGTAATTTTTAATCCACATAAAATTTAAATACCTTCCATATATAATATATCCAAATAGATTCTCATCATAAATAAAAATTCATTTTCTCACCTTAAGAAAGAGAAAAACAAGTTGGGCAAGGAAGGCATAAATAAAGACAAGTCCCACTACCAGCAGTCCATCAGATTCCTTTATCCTTTGCTGCTAAAGATCAAAGATGCCCATCTTTCTTTCACATTTAATGGAATGGGGATTGCAGTGTTAAGAAGAGAGATGACTCACTATTCAAGATAAGCACACCATTACTTTCCTCACCATACTAAAGTAGTATTTATGTATAACCCATCCAACTTCAATCGCTCATCTAAACATCTAAACGCATACTCACTAATAAGCATCACCAAATTCTCCATCAATTGACTGACATAAATCTAGGGGTGGCAACGGTGCGGCGGGATGGGGAATCTCCATTATATGTTTCGAGAATCTTTTTGTCCCCATACTCATCTCTTATGGATCATTGCGGGTTTCGATTAATCCTCATCGAAAAAAATAAACAAACATTTTTGAAATCAATGTAGCACCTAAAACTTATAAGATATATCAGATTGTCTCAAATTGGCCTCTATTTATATTATGAAAGTTTTAAACGTATATATAATCTCACAATCTTATCATATATAATTTTTTTATTAAAACATATATTAAATGTATATAGGTAAATGATTATAAATATATTTTTAAAATTTTGTAAAACATCAGAGATTCCTATGAATATTTTTAGGAGATCTCCACTGTTATTCACAAAGATACGGTTCGATTATCCCAACGGTCTGAATATAGCAATCCTCGTCCTCAACCCCATTTGAGCTTCGGCGATAAAACTTCCGCCATCCCCATCTCTCTAGGTAAAGATTTCGGTTATTCCCCATTCATTGATTTGAATCTCCACGATTTTCGATTTTTCCCCACCCGATTGTCACCCTTACATAAATCACAACACTTGATATGTATGCATGACAAAATAAAATTTGTGAAAAAAAATGGAGACTCATCACGATCTATATGGCTCCTGGGAAAGAAAGGGGAGGGAAGCTGTCAACTTAAGAGAAAGACCAGCTTCTTTTCCACCCAGAGAAGTGGGTCAACAAATTTTCCACCTCACAAGATTTAGTACAAAGGAACACCACAAACACCAATAAAGCTTCAAATATCAAAGGCTACGCCTCCTCAAAATTCCAACGCCTAAGGTCTAAAAGTACCCAATGCTTATCAGCCAAGTTCAAAGGCACAAATGAACCCATACCAACCCTCCACACTTGGCACATGTAAGCATGTGCTCATTGCGTGGGTGTCAAAGAGTTCTAGACAGGGCAAATTTGTTCTAATGATTGCTTCACACTGATGCAGAGCTGTTTTTCAGTAAAGTGATGGCAAAGCTAATAAACATTTTCAGTTCGTAGAAGTAAACAATCTCTATCTTTATACATGTTCTTTTCAGTAATGTTTAAAACAATGGCTTTAGTTGTATAATCTTTTCAATCAACAATTGGAACCAGAATACAGTCCAAAAAGAGGGCTCAGTGTTCAAAAGAATGAAAAAGAAGAATGATCCGTTATTTAGGGGTTGATGAGATGCCTGTATAGGAATAAAAAATAATAATACTCAACTTATTTTCCTGGTCACCCGTTTACATCAAGCTGGTTTTGCCAATTTCCCCTCCTCCATATTAGCATGTTTCAATTTGAAGATACCCGAGTCCCCGTTGCTTAGAAAGTTGCTACAGTTCTTCAAGTTTATGTCTAGGAAGTTCCACTTGTGTAGCTAAGTCCTCATTTCTTTTATTCATTGCCTGAAACAATAATGAACCACATTAGATGCAAAAAAAAGTGAACCACATTAGATTTTTTAAAATGCATGGGCCTCCAGAACCCTTTTGCCACCACTCGACTCGTTTACAAGTTTAGTTGTGCTGACAATATATTAAGCCAGATATTTCCCGAAGCTGCTCTTTATTTTCAGCGCCGTACCCTGTGCTTGAATGTTTTCGTAACCAAAATTTTTACCGCATTGCATCTGCACATAAAGTGTTTGATAAAATCACTCACCGAATCAAGTTTGAGCTGAGTCGATTCCGCACCTCAAAACTCAAAACAATGCAACGGTTAACGTCAAGAGTCACTGCAACCACGAAAGTTTGCTCGTTGCTGAGAACTATCCTCCTTAATGAACCACCATCTTCTTCTTGGCTTCCAAGCCGCTGCTTCTCTACTTTCTCTTTGCAGCAACGGGTTGAAACCCCAGAAAAAGTATCGATTCCAGGAGATTTATTGAAATGGGGTTCGCTTGGGTTTTGCAGGACTTCGAGATTTGCATCAGGATTTAATCCTTTAGAACCCAAGCCGTTGGATTCCATCATGGATTTGAACAGAGCAAAGAACCGTTCACCTGACGACCTTGCTTCTATTTGGGATGATGTAATGCACCTCATTACTGAACTTCTTTTCCCCCCTCCATTTTTAATGTTGTCAATATGAAAGAACAAATTGATTAAGCAAATTTTTTATGTTTCAGTATCACTTGGGAAGAGGTCGTATTGGGTTGACCATGAAGGCAAAACTTTACCGTTTGCTGGAACAAAGAAGCTCGGATTGGTAATTCATTTTATTCCATTGGTTATGCTGTTACATACACGTTGTTTGGTTTCATAATTTTTGCTAGTCTCACTTCTATCCGCTTAGCAGCCGCTATTTTGTCGTTCCTTTGTGGAGAGGAAGTGGTTATACAACAATGTTTGCTCAAGGTTTGTTCTTGAACCGGCAGTCTTTGATATTTTTTTCGTTTTGGTCTGATGAGTTTTGATTTGTTTTGTGCTGGTTTAATTCTCTTGTTTGTGATCTATTTAACCTACCATTCAAAATATTTTCTTTACTACAGTGGTCATAATAATGTTATGGTTTTTTGAATCATGCCTGTGGTAGCAATTAAATGCAGTAAGACGTGTATTAAGAAACAACATAGTACCAGTTTAGAGTCATAATTATTAACTAGTTTATCATTCTCAAAATGTTCGTATCAGGCAAATTATCATGGCTTTTGCAATTAGAAAAGAGCATTGGAAATGTCTTTCTGCAAGAGTTCAACCTAGTGGACATTCTTGTGCTTGTATGAATGATTAATTGAAAGAGTTTAACAGCCTTTTCCGCTGTTGATTTACAAATTTCTGATGAACTCATAGGAACCAAGAATCCTATTAGGGTTATTTGTTACAATGAACAATACTAAATACCATTGTGTTCTAAGTTATGCCCCTTGTTAGGATATTTAGATGGCATATGCCAATGAAATAATCAACAAATTTTATATTTTTCCATGAACTTGTTAGTTTGCTTAAATTTTTATCCAAAATTTTCTTGCAGTGCAATTGCCGTACATGCTTTTCACCGGTCTTGAAGATTACAAAGCAAGAGGAACCCAAGCATCTCCTTACTTCACTGCAACCTTTTACACAGACTTTGCCGAAAGCAAGGACTTGATACTTATTCGTGGAGATATTGTTTTCACCAACAAGCTTACTGATGAGGAAGCAACGTGGCTCCTGGAAACCACTCAATCTTTTTATCTGAATGATGTGAGGTACAAGCTGGTTGAATGTTTCAATAAAGAGCCGCGTGATTTTGAGTTCAAGGATGTGTTACAAGCTTTAGACATGCCTATCCTTTAACTTAAAATAATAGTTCCTGAACTGCAATGCTTCATTCTGAAGAAGTATGAAACAATAATGTTTCCAACAAATGTCATGCTTGACGGTTTCTTGTTTCATTTTCAAGAAAATATTTAAATCCTCCACTGTAGAGAGGATGGTCTTGAGATAGATTGTATATGATGCGGTCATTACATAACAATTTTAAGCCTGAAAAGTAGTCACTTTCTAACTTCCTGCAGTTGAATTGAAAATGAGAAGCAAAGTAATTCATCTAGTCGTACAAGAGTAGCATATCTGGTGTTACTAGGAAAGGTGCATTATTCTGGAAACGATTAACTAATATATTTTTCAGGGATTGAACTTGAACTATGAACCAAACTATCAATAGAAAATCAGCCAATGATAGATCCTTGAATTTCGGTACCATTCATTTCTTTTATCACTTAATTTTATGTCATGTTTTACTCTCAGCCATAGATTAGACAAGAGCTTTCAAGTTGTCCATCGATGCTCGTATTAATACTCATCTCTGTGTTCTTGGTTTGGCAATGAAATGGATGAGAAAGTGAAACAAAGTGCAGTTCCAATGTGATAGTTCCAGGGACCTCTAAACTCAGGGTTGGACTGCTGCTCCTGCATCCAAGCTATGAACATTGTGTAGATTAAGATGGATGTGGTTAGAGGTGCACAAAAAATCCGAATATCTGATTTTGCGTAAAAAAATATCCGAAACTGGATTTGGGAAAAACCGGTTTTTTAAAACCGAATAGTATAACCGGTTTGGGAAAAAATTAGACGATCGGTTTTTTTACCAGATTAAAAATTGTTTTGAAAAAAACTGGATAAAAAACCTGTTTTTGTCCGGAAAAAAATCCGGTCTGGGGTTTTAAAATCTAGCCGTTAATATAGTCGTTGGGGGTTTTTGTGATCGTTTTTTGACCATTTTTTTTCCTAAAGAAATCACCATTTTACCACCCTAAACATGTATAAATAGGTTGTGATGCATTTGGTTGATTACAACTTTCTCAAATCTTATTACACAACACCTAAACATCTCTCAAATCTTATTTTTGTAATTTTTTGTTCATCATGGCTACAAACCGGGTTTTTTAAAAAACTAGTTTTTTTCAAACCGAAACCGGTTACACCATTCAGCCCTCCAAATCGGGTAGGATCCGAACCAGTTTTTTTAAAATCTGTTTTTTTGGCTAGGTGAAAAAACCAGATCGGTTTTTATCCGATCTGAATCGATTTTTTATCCGACTTTGTGCATGTCTAGCTGCGGTGACCAACCACATTTCCGTGCTGAAACATTTCAAGAATGTCCATGTCGATTCCTCGGACATTGCCGGAATTATCATGGATAACCCTGATGCTAGTATAGTTATGTCACCGACAGCTGCATCATAATTCTTCCATTGGTTTTGGTACACAAGCAAAAAGCAAACAAAAACCTCATAAGACAATCGTAGAAACAAGAAAACTGAACAAGAAGCAAATCGTCCTTGCTATTGTCACAGTTTTTCCCCCACATCACTCCTAATGAAAACCGAGCCTAAATTCGACATCTTATCTACAAAATTTCATATAAAAGTATAACTGAATTATCAAAAAAATATGATGGAAAACAAATGAAGTAAATTAGCATAGGAATAAGAAGTTTAAGGGGTATTCAATTAGGTGAAAAAAAGATTTAGAAGCATGAATTCAAAGAAAAACATATATTACCTTGCTGTAGACTTTGTTAACAAGTTCATCAGATGTACCATTGTGACGATCAAATCGATAAGGTAGCTCATAACCTAGCACGTTATTTTTGCATTTAGGTTATTATGGAAAGCAAATTTTTGAAAGAAAATGCCGTTATTGTAATATTAAAGATAAATATTATTTAGATATCCTTTTTAAGCCAGATAATGTTAATGCTCAATTTGGGGAGATTAGTGCGAGATATTATCTCTGAGAAGGAATATTTTTCATCACTGCCTCTCTAAATCTTGAGTGCCAATTACTTCATCCCCACAACTTGGAAAGTCGAAACCTTGTTGACAATCTCTCCCCACAAAGCATCCTTGTAAAGGAACCAAATACCCCGAGGCTCCACCTTCCTTTCGCACTTGGGCAGCATCAATGGAATCGCTTTCCATTAAAGGGGGAGCCGTGGGTTGAACCCTGCCGTACAATTCATTATCCTCTAGCGCTTGGAGCGTTGGTTCAGCCTTGGTACGACATATGGGGCACGTTGTATGTTATCCCAACCACGTATCTATACACTCCACATGGAACATGTGCTTACAATTTGGTAAAAGCCTGACTGTGGAGTCTTCCGTGATGGTTCCCAAACAAGCAGAGCACTCTGTGGGCTCCTCATGGACATTAACCTGGCCGTTGGTTAGCTTGTATGAGAACATCGGCAATGACACTATAACCAAAGGGTCGAGCCCCGACTTTGGTGGCTCGATGACGGAACTTTCATATAACGCTGCAATTTGAGTTCTCCGGAGATTAAGGGCTGCACGCCTTCTCAGACGATACTTTGTGTAGTGATAGAGCAACACTATGATCATCTCAACTCCAAGTAAAGAGGCGATTACGCCGAGCAAGATCTTGTGGCTGACATCAAATTCTCTATTATCATCATCTTCTGAACTCATAGCTGCTTAGTTTTCTCTTCTGCCAAGAGATGTGGGTTGTTTAACTTGGCTAATAAATGTATATATACGTGTGTGTGAATTTCTCAAAAAGGACTGTTAATGTGAATTGTAGAATGTTCCTAAAGTTTTGAGAGTTGGAAACTTTAGAAGCTAGGTAGCCACGCTTTCTTTTTGATACATGCCTTTTGACTTTAAATCACTATCTTTACTTTGTTTAAGAATTCATGTTTGTTATTAGGCAATATAATAATAGTATTATGATTGAAGTGTTAGTTGAGAAATTTATTTGGACACGGAAAGAAAAAATTTCTAGAGTCGATGTAAAATCTTTCAGTGCACAGGTAAATACCTTTGGACTCTGGTGCTAATCGAGCCCATTGCTGATTACATGTTGCCATTATTTTCCATTATTTAAGTCCTAATAAAATCACCAGATCATTTCTTTATTTCAAAATATGATCTCATAGTTCAGCGTTGAGCTTCAACAAGAACGTAAGCTAATAAAACCACTTCTACTGAATTCAGATGTTAAGATCAATCTTCTACGAAATGCGTCCATATGCATTGTCAATGTTCTGTAGCTCGGTTGGAGCGTTGGTCTTGTGAGCCGAAGGTCGCGGGTTTGAGACCAAAGATTTTCATTTTGTTGTTAGTTTTCTTATCTTCCATCATCTTCCTTCCCTCTGGTTCTATTTTCTTCAATAAATAAATAACCCATCCAACGCGACAAACTCCCCAGTTCTTCATAATTCATATCGGTTGTGGAGCCCTTGATTGATGAGAGAGGGAATTTAAAAAAAAAAACAATATTTTGAATATGAACTTTTCCCACTAGACCAGCTTTTGATTCTTTGTGAGAGAAAAACTGAAATAAACAGAAGACATACATAACAAGAGAGAGGAAAAAGCTGGTAAATGGGGCATGATAACGTGCATTCCATACCAACCTTTAATTATTATTTTCTTTGGTTTCAGGCTTTCCTTCTTCTTTACCTTGTACTGTATGTTGTCACCACATCCCCCTTTGATCTCCCTTCTTAGTGCTTGTTTTCTTTGCTTGACTTTATAATAAAGGGAAAAAAAAGGGCTTATCTGGGGATGCCACGTGATTGCGAGGGATCCTGGAATCTGGACGAGTAAAAATTTAGAAACTAATTTATACCAAATATTTGGTTGATGATTTATGGGGTTTATGTAGCTGCTGCAAGTTTCAGCTAGAGGATTAGTGGGCTGACTTCGATAGTTGCCTGGTTGTTCATCTGTGGAAAAGCTTACCGTTTAGTAACTATTGGTTGTTTTCCACGAATAAATGTCCTCACTTTCAAATAAACCAGGTTCAATGCAAGAAATTCAAAAAAATTTGAAAATTTTCTGTCATGTTCTCTTAAGAAACTGAATTTTTTGTGTTCCAATTTATTCCTGCCTCTGTTTCTGATTATATTTGCACTGGAATATACTGTCAGGTTGATGCTAAGCTGGGTCTTGATACATACCATCAGCAATGGGTTCTGGAAACTTGTTGAAGACAATAATAAATATAGTGAAAGATGACGGCTCAAGGAAAGTAAAGGTTAGCTTCCAAAAACAAACTTAATCATAAACTAAGCAATGCAACTCCGTGTTTTCCAGTGATAAATGATTAGTTTGCAATTTGAATCCTTGCGGTTGATATTATGCACGATCTAAACCTTTTGGAAGATTGTTTCTCCCACTAGAATGGTCTTCTTTAAATAGCTTTTACAACTGAAAGTGTCATTGCCCATTATTCATTACCCCCTTCCTTGATACCATTTGCTATATGCAATTTATCATTCATTTGTTCCCTTTATTGAGGTGACCTAAATTGGTCTCTTCTGTTCGGCACAGGGATCTTCAGCTCCTACAAAATCCAATGACTTCAAATGGAAGAAACACAAGTGAAAGGCATCCACTAATCCACTATAACAAGTTTAATTAGCAGAAATTCCATCCCTCTTGGCATGCCAATTGAGGATTTAGCAGCAACACGGATCAAATTGCATTCAGGGCCAAGAGAGTATGTTGATTTTGAAGTTCTATATATAAGACCATAATTGGTGAAAACTTATATATATAGGCATGTATGCCTTTGCTTGCATTGGTGATGCCCATCAGCCCATGTCTCAATGATAGAAACTTCTTGTATTTCAACCCTCTAGCTCCAACGCATTTAACTGGATTCTGCTTGTTAATGCATCATTCGTAGTTAATTGAACCATCAAATTGGAGTGACTGGTGAAGTGACCTCTCTAGTCTCTTTAAAATGAATTTGTAAAACTCTTTCTAGAATAGAATCAATGTCTGCACATGGTATGTGATAATTAATTGATATCATGAACATGTGTCCAACTGCCTCTCCTGTTTCTGAATTTGTTTATAAGTTGACAAGGTAACAGAAGGCTGTCTTAGATCACCTAAAGCTCAAGGCTAAACTACATGAAATAGAGGTTAGATCAACAGCCCTGGCTCATGAGACCATTCATGAACTAA